TTTTCCTGAACGGGACTATAAGTATCGCGTTTTGCCTGGGGTTTGAAGGGTTTGCCACATAGTCCGCGCGCGGCGATGTTGATCCGTAGGACTATAAACAAGAACATCTGTACAGTCAATCCCACCTTTCGTGCTGCTGCTCCTGCTCCAGCTCTAACTCTGACTTAGACATTCTTGCGCCCAAGTTCAATCCCTCACACCAATTTCTGACTGACTGATGTGCCTGGTGGACGATGCAGCTATCGCGTCCTAATCTCCTCGACAGCCTTAGTTTCGGCTGTGCCAACTTGCTGTACAAACTATAAAATTCCCGCTGCGGTTGCAGCTTTCCATATCCAGCAAAGTGACTCCCACTACTACACTGTATAGTACACACTGTTTCTGAGAGCCACGCTCGGCTCGCAATGGCGTGTTCACCCGAACGTTCTCTCATGGCGCACCATCCCCCGTCGTTCGCCCATCGCCCGCACCTAACGCTTCTAAACCCAATCACGTCATCAACACCTCTTCCGCCGCGCCAAGCGTGCTGTGCGAAAGCCGCTCGAGGCGACTATTGTTGCTGCTCCTTCCCGTGCTGCCCTAATCCCGAAAACTGCTGTCGTACCCCCGGCTATTTGTCCCTAATCCACCATCCGCGCCCTGTCACCGCCATCGCGAATGATGCTTTTCCACAGCTGCCGGCGACGGCGGAAATCTCGCCTAAAATTTTAGCAGGCGGCGCGGCTCGCCCAGAGAAAATATCGTCATCGCAAAATTCCGACAGCTTTCCGTCCCCCGTTTCCTATCCAGCCGCTTCTTGCGATAAGGAGGCGACAACGGGTTGTGCGGAGGTGGAGGAGGAGGACGAATCGCTGCAGAGCTGGAGCAAGGAGCTGAGCGACGTCATGGCGGCGCGTCTTTTCTCCGACAGCCCCGCGAATACCGCTGCTGCCGCCACTCCCAACCGAATGGTCACCGCCGCAACAGACGCCGCCGCCCAGCCGATGAGCCAATGGGAAGAGGAATTCTTGCAGCAGCTCGAACGTTCCATGGTGGATTCTCGCGGAAGGCTCGTGGAATCGCTTATGGACAGCACCGTAAAATCGCGGACATCGGGATCCCGCACGAACAAACACGGTTTGTTGATTCGTCCGAGGAGCCAGAGCCAGGACAGAGCGTCTCAGCAAAGACGATTGTCCACTCAGGTTCCTGAGGCCCCTAGGCGCGCTGTGAGCCATGGCGGTGGACTGACACGGTCCTGCAAGCTGTGGCAATGGCTGGTGAATGGTCCATCATCTCTCAGCGATTAAGCCTTATTTGTTGGTTTGTTTTTGTTTTGTTCTTTATGTTGTTTTTAGTTGGTGTACCTTTTTCATAGATAGTCCTCACAATTTCCACCATCTCACATTCAGATGCAAATTGCGAAGGTCTGCGAAATGTTCTGTCCTCCTTGAGAAGTGTTCACTCTTGACTTTGCTTGTAGTCACTCACAGACGAAAATCGCGTCCCGTTCCCATCTAACATCTGTTATTTGCATTTACTACAACCAGCCAGCACCAACCAGAACAACCATTGCTCGTTCAACAATCACTCAAAAATCTAAAAGCTTGCGAGCTGACACACCATGGCTGAAACCACATCCGCGATCTCTTTTAGACATGTCGACGAACTCCCTGATGAGATCCTCGCAGTTATTCTGCGCCTCGTATCATCGCGCAATCCATGTCAGTTAAACCACGCGCTTACCTGCAAGCGATGGCTGCGAATCTCACGGCACGTGCAAGCCACCGTTCACGTGGCAGAAGACAGACAACTCTCATCATCTCAACTCCTCCGCTCCCTCTCTCACTTCCCCAATCTCACGAGTCTTCATCTCGCGAAGCGTAGCGTCGACGTCACGGATGGCATTTTTTTCACGAGCTCCGTTGTTGCTGCTTCAGTAGTAATCTCACCTCCTTCCACCTCGACGTAATCGAAACCTCTATATTGTCTCCCAAACCCAGCTTGTCCACCAGCAGCAGATTGCCTACTACTACCAGCGACGTCGATCCAGGCCTTGATTCTCTCTTCCAAGCTTATATAATTTTGAACGACATATCACTCTCTCTGGCCTTCCGTCCAGCAGCTTCCTAAGTCCCTGACAGCTCTGCAGGAAACTTTTGCAGCTGCCTGACAGCTTCGCAGACACTGAGGTCGTATCCCAGGCTGGTGGCAAGAAGTTGGTGGCAAGAATTTTGCGCATGCAATTGGTTAAAAAAACCGCTTGACCAATCGCATTGGCCGGGCGTCTGTTTTAGACCAATCGCGCGCGGAAACTTCTTGCCACCAACTTCTTGCCACCAGCCAGGGATACGACCTGACTCGTCTTGTTATTCAAAGATGTGGCTGTCAGAGGTCCACTGGTGATCCCCGATTGATCCTAGGGAACGGTTACAGACACGTTAGCCTGGAGGGTTATGGGCGCACTGACCCGCTACTTAACAAGCCCTTTTATCCCAATGGTCTAGTGGTTGGGATTCTGACCTGGTATCAGAGCGGTCTCGGGTTCAAATCCCAGTGTGTGCACTTCGGGCATCCCAGTGCGGGGGGGTGTTAGAGGTCCACTGGAGATCCCCGATTGGTCCTACGGAAGGGTTATAGGCTCGTTGTCCTAGGGGGTTATGGGCGCACTGACCCGCTACTTAACAAACCATTTTATCCCAGTAGTCTAGTGGCTGGGATTCTGACAGTGGCATTATTCAGTCTCTTCGCGAGAACATCGGACACATGAAGGGGTTGAGGGATCTTGAAATCTGTTCAAGTGACTGCATCACGGAAATCCCACCAACACTGCTTTTCCTCTCGCAACTAGAGCGACTGTCAGTTTCAGACTATCCGAAGCTTCGATCTCTGCCCAAAGGCCTGGGCAGCAAAAAATTGAAGAACCTGACGTACCTGGAACTTTTGCACCTCCCATGCCTACCCGGGCTGCCAGGGAACTTAGGGAAGCTTCCGAGCATCCAGGAGGTTCGGCTGAATGGCTCCAATCTGGTTAGGCAGCCACAGCTTCGGAAGTCATTCTACCCGAAGCCAGCCTCCCTTTGGGTGACCGTTGGACCTCTTGCCTGGATTTCGCAGAAACTTGTTTCTGAAGCCCCGCCTGCACGCATTCCTCCTGGCTGCACGGGATTAGGAGATTGGATCATTCGGCCTTTTAAGGCATGAGGGAAGTCAGCATGGCATGGCAGGCGTGGTGAAGGCGAAATGGGACCTTGAGCTCAAACCAGTAGCAAGGGTTTGTGACGTCAAGGGGATCGGAGTGGGTGAGTGTAAGTGAGTGTGATTTTGTGTGAGTGAGAGTGGATGTGCACCCCGATGGCTCCTTCCTCTTGTCGCGCGCTCCGCCCAAGCCACACCGTGCTGTCTCACTGCCATCTCACTTGGATCAACCCTCCCTCCCCTACTCTCCCTCCCCTCATTTCCCCTCCTTTCCCTTCCCTTCCCAACCGCTCGCCTCCCTGACATCCCACCGATGCGCATGTGTGCACAGCTGTGGCGAGTGGCCCGGCTTGGTCGCGGGGACCAAACCGGTGAGCTGTGGCAAGCGGCTTGGCCGTGGCTTGGCGAGTGTTCCAACAGTGGGGCTTGGGAGCTTGTGGTGGCACCAGCTCGAGGTGACTTTTGAGTCGACTCAAAAGTCACTGCGTGCACACAGCTGTGGCGAGCGGCTTGGTGGCGCCCTTTGAGGCACCTCAAAAGTTTGTGGTGGCGCCCTTTGAGGCGCCTTAAAGGTGTGTGGTGGCGCCCTTTGAGGCGCCTTAAAGGTGTGTGGTGGCGCCCTTTGAGGCGCCTCGAAAATTTGTGGTGGCGCACGCCAGCTCACCACAGCTACACCATCAACGCTCTGCGCTTCTCGCCCTCATTAGCGCACGTGCATGCGCGCATGCCTGCTGCACCTGTGTCGGTAAGCCATTTCACCCTCCCATGCATCCTTCCTCCCCCCATTCATATCCCTCCTCCCATTCACATCCCTTCTCCTATTCACATCCCTCCTCCCATTCACATCTCTCCTCTCACTCGCATCCCTCCGCCCACTCGCATCCCTCCGCCCACTCGCATCCCTCCGCCCACTCGCATCCCTCCGCCCACCTGCATCCCTTCAATCCTCGATTATACATCCTTCCTTGGCATCTCTGCTGCTCCTCTGCTCACTCGCGTTGCTCTGAAGCACTTGTTTCAACGGAGCACATTACCTTGACAGGCGGTTAGTACGCCGCTGGAGTGTGTCTGCGTGTGTGTGTGTGTATGTGTGTGTGTGTGTGTGTGTGTGTGTGTGTGTGTGTGTGTGTGTGTGTGTGTGTGTGTGCTCACGCGCGCGCGAGCGCGTGTGCATGTGTGTACGTTGCACAATCAGGCGGCGAGGTGTTGTTGTGAGGTGCTGATGGTACAGCCGCCCAGTGGTGCCATCTGAAAGGTCATCCGGTCTCTACTTTTGAGGCGCCTTGGAGGTCGTGCTATGGAGGTGCTGATGGTACAGCCACACGCCCAACCCAGTGGTGCCATATGAAAGGTCCTCCGGTCTCTCAGGTGTTATTCTACCATGCATGCACACCCTTGTACCCTGCTCTCTCTCGCACACAGCCTCACAACCATTCTCTCTGTCCCACTCTCGCTTGCACGCAAAGTGACTTGCTTTCTTGCGTCTCCTAGCCCCTCTCATGCTTTCCGTTCTTTCATGTTTTGAGTCGGCTCAAAATAGATCAATGTTGAGATTTCTCAAAAGGTGACTTGCTTTCTTGCTTCCCCTAGCTCTCTCATGTTTTCCGTTCTCCCTTCCCATCATCCTTCCTGCTCTATTCATCCCCCGTCCCCTTCCTTTGTCCATCCGCATTCCAGAAGCCACTAGAGGCGAATCTTGTTGCTGCTCCTTCTCGTGCTGCCCTAATCCTGAAACTTGCTGTCGAGCGCCCCATCACTTATCCCTAATCCACCACCTGCATCCCACCACCGCTATCACGAATGCTTCCCTGCAACTGCCGGCGATGGCGGAAATTTCGACGGAAACTTCAGCGGGCGCCGTTGCACCACCCGCTGGTGGGTCAAGTCATTCTAGAGCTTCATGGCGAAAAAAGGCCGACCATATTAAGCCACCGCCGGTCTTCTCTGTCGCCAATTCCTCTCCTATGGGTCCTTGGAGTTATGCGCTGGATATGGATGAGGACGACGAATCGCTGCAGAGCTAAGGCAAGGAGCCGAGCGACGTCATGGTGGCGCGACTTTTCTCCGACAGCCCCGCGAGTACCTCTGCTGCTACCGCTGCTCCCAACCAAATGGTCACCACCACAACAGACGCCGCCGCCGCGCAGCCGATGAGCCAATGGGTGTCAGAATGTTATTATTGTCTAGCCTGCAGTGGGGTACTCTATAGCGAGTACAACCCAATTAGGGTTTCCTATATGTATGCCAACTGCTGCTAGTGAAAGCCTCTCCCTTCTTCATTCTTGTTTCTGACTGCTAGTTCTGACATGCTATCAGAGCAGGTCGACCCTTCTGGGTCGATCCTGTGGGTAGGCCCCACCCGATGCTTCCGCTGCTCTACTGTTGTCGCGCGCCCCGGGCGCGCGACCCTTTCTTCCTGCCGCGCACTCGGAGCGCGCGGCGTTTTTCATCTCGCCGTGAGCTCGGGGCGTGCGGCGGTTTTCTGCCCGCCATGCGCTCGGGACGCGTGGCGGTTTCCTGCCCGTCGCGCACCCTGGCCGCACACGGCGGTTTCGCGTTCCATCGACCTGCGCGCTCGTCCCCGTCGACCTGCGCGCGGCTCTCCGTCGCCCTTCGCGGCGGCCCCGTCGACCCACGCGCGACTCCTCGTCGCCCTTCGCGACGGCCCCGTCGACCCGCGCGCGGCTCCCCATCGCGGCGGCCCCGTCGACCCGCGCGCCGCCCGTAGGGACCCGTGCGCCCGTCCCCGTCGACCCCCGCGTCGCCCTGCGGCCCCCCCTCCCCGCACACCTGAGTTCGCTTTCCGCACACCCGAGTTCGCTTCCCACACGCCTGTGCACGCTTCGCGCACACCTGGGCTCGCTTACCGCACACTCAGGGTATGGGGGTGACGGGTATGGGGGTGGCGGGTGTGTGCGCCGTCCCCTGCTCCTCCTCCTCCCCCGTCTCCCACTGCTGCAGCTGCCGCTGAGGGGGGTGGGTGTGTGGGAGCCGAAGGAGTGGTGCTAGGGGGGTGTCGTGGGAGTGGAGCTAGGGGTGCCGCAGGGGGTGTGTGAAAGGGGGGGTGGGATAGTTGGGGGAAGTTGCGTGGAGGCTGCCGTCGTGTCGCCTGCAGCGCCAGTAGTCCGGAGCCTGTCTTGCTCTCGGTAGCCCAGCGAGCCTTGTCAAACATTATACATGTTATGCTTGTGTAGGCTACAGTGGGTTAGCCTATAGGGGGTACACAATTCTAGGGTTTACTACTTGTACACATTTCACTTCTAGTTCATTCATTCCTGTTCGCTTATTCTCACATGGTATAGAGCGGGTCCTTCTACGGACCGTTTTTTTTGGGCCCACCGAAGCGCCCCCCAAGGCGCGATTTTTTTTCGCGACCCCTCGGGTCGTCATTTCCCCTGCGGCCCCGCCGCCTTCACTGACGCGGCCCCGCCGCCCTCTCTGACGGGGCCCCGCCGCCGGCCCTTACGCGGCCCCGTCGCTGGCTCTCACGCGGCCCCGCAGCCGGCTCTGTCGCGGCCCCGCCCCGGCCTTTACGCGGCCCCGCCGCCTGCTCTCACGCGGCCCCGCCTCGGCTCCTTCGCGGCCCCGCCGCCTGCTCTCGCGCGGCCCCGCCCCGGCTTCTACGCGGCCCCGCCCCGGCTTTCACGCGGCCCCGCCGACGGCTTTGTGGCGGCCCCGCCCAGGCCCTTACGCGGCCCCGCCGCCTGCTCTCACGCGGCCCCGCCCCGGCTCCTTCGCGGCCCCGCCGCCTGCTCTCGCGCGGCCCCGCCCCGGCTTCTACGCGGCCCCGCCCCGGCTTTCACGCGGCCCCGCCGACGGCTCTGTCGCGGCCCCGCCCAGGCCCTTACGCGGCCCCGCCGCCTGCCCCCGTTGCGGCCCCACCCAGTCGCGGCCCCGCCCCATCCCGGCCCAGCCGCCCCGTCGCGGCCCGGTCGCCTCCTGACGGCCCCGCCGTCCCTTCGTGACGGCCCCGCCGTCCCTTCCTGACGGCCCCGCCGTCCCCTCCTGACGGCTCCTGCCGTCCCCTTCTACCGGCCCCGAAACTGCACCTGCTGGCCCCGCCGCTGCACCTACCGGCCCCCACCACCCCCCCCCTTTTCCCGTCGCCCGTCGCGGCTCCTTCGGTGGCCCGCCAGCAGAGGGGTGGCAGGTGTGTGTGTCAGAATGTTATTTGTCTAGCCTGCATTGGGGTGCTCAATACTGAGAAACTTACTCGAACTCACCTACCTCCTAGTGTGGGCCTAGGCTACTCAGCCTAGGCCCCACACCTAATATTTTCACATGTTATCAGAGCCCGTTCTACCTTGGCCTGTGGGCCCCTATGCTTCCGCTGCAGTCCTTCTTCCTGTCGCGCGCGGAGCGCGCGGGGAATTTTTTTTTTAGGATTTCGGAGTTTTTCATCCCGCCGTGCGCTCGGGGCGCGCGGCGGTTTTCCCGTCCTTCGAAGCGCCCTCGGGGGGCCTGCGCGCTGCCCTCCCCGCTGCTCGTCGCGACGCCCGTGCGGGACCCGCGCGGCGTCGCCCTACTCGTCGCGACGTCCGTGCGGGACCCGCGAGGCGTCGCCCCTGCTCGTCGCGACGTCCGTGCGGGACCCGCGGGGCGCCGTCAGATCCGGCAGCAGCAGCCGCCGCCGGCCTGCAGCAGCAGACGCCTCCGCCCTGCAGCAGCAGCCGCCGCCAGGCCTGCAGCAACAGACGCCGCCGCCCTGCAGCAGCAGCCGCCGCCAAGCCTGCAGCAGCAGCCGCCAGGCCTGCAGCAGCAGCCGCCGCCAGAGCCTGCAGCAACCGCCGCCGCCAGAGCCAGCAGCAACCGCCGCCAGAGCCTGCAGCAGCAGCCGCCGCCAGAGTCTGCCGCAGCAGCCGCCGCCAGAGCCTGCAACAGCAGCCGCCGCCAGCGCCTGCAGCAGCTACCGCCCCTGGACCCGGTACGCTCTGTGCTGCCCTGCCTGTGCTGCCCTGTGCTGCCCCTGCCTGTGCTGCCCTGTGCTGCCCGTGTCTGTGCTGCCCTGTGCTGCCCGTTGCCTGTGCTGCCCGTGCCTGCGCTGCCCGTGCCTGTGCTGGCCGTGCCTGTGCTGCCCGTGCCTGTGCTGCCCGTTGCCTGTGCTACCCGTGCCTGCGCTGCCCGTGCCTGTGCTGCCCGTGCCTGAGCTGCCCGTGCCTGTGCTGCCCGTGCCTGTGCTGCCCGTGCCTGTGCTGCCCGTTGCCTGTGCTGCCCGTGCCTGCGCTGCCCGTGCCTGTGCTGGCCGTGCCTGTGCTGGCCGTGCCTGTGCTGCCCGTTGCCTGTGCTGCCCGTGCCTGCGCTGCCCGTGCCTGTGCTGCCCGTGCCTGTGCTGCCCGTGCCTGTGCTGCCCGTGCCTGTGCTGCCCGTTGCCTGTGCTGCCCGTGCCTGTGCTGCCCGTGCCTGTGCTGCCCGTGCCTGTGCTGCCCGTGCCTGTGCTGCCCGTGCCTGTGCTGCCCGTGCCTGTGCTGCCCGTGCCTGTGCTGCCCGTGCCTGTGCTGCCCGTTGCCTGTGCTGCCCGTGCCTGCGCTGCCCGTGCCTGTGCTGGCCGTGCCTGTGCTGCCCGTGCCTGTGCTGCCCGTTGCCTGTGCTGCCCGTGCCTGCGCTGCCCGTGCCTGTGCTGCCCGTGCCTGTGCTGCCCGTGCCTGTGCTGCCCGTGCCTGTGCTGCCCGTGCCTGTGCTGCCCGTTGCCTGCGCTGCCCGTGCCTGTGCTGCCCGTGCCTGTGCTGCCCGTGCCTGTGCTGCCCGTGCCTGTGCTACCCGTGCCTGTGCTGCCCGTGCCTGTGCTGCCCGTGCCTGTGCTGCCCGTGCCTGTGCTGCCCGTTGCCTGTGCTGCCCGTGCCTGCGCTGCCCGTGCATGTGCTAGCCGTGCCTGTGCTGCCCGTGCCTGTGCTGCCCGTTGCCTGTGCTGCCCGTGCCTGCGCTGCCCGTGCCTGTGCTGCCCGTGCCTGTGCTGCCCGTGCCTGTGCTGCCCGTGCCTGTGCTGCCCGTGCCTGTGCTGCCCGTTGCCTGTGCTGCCCGTGCCTGTGCTGCCCGTGCCTGTGCTGCCCGTGCCTGTGCTGCCCGTGCCAGTTGCTGCCCGTGCCTGTGCTGCCCGTGCCTGTTGCTGCTCGTGCCTCGTGCTCGTGCCCTCGTGCGCTCTGCTACTGTCTGCGCCCCTGTTTCCGGGTATGGGGGTGTCTGGTGTGCAGTCCTCCCTTTCCTCCTCCTCCTTCGTCTCCCACTGCTGCAGCTGTCGCTGAGGGGGGTGGTTGTGTGGGAGACTGGGGTTTAGGGTTTAAGGGGGGTGCGTGGGAGTGGAGCTAGCGGTGTAGCAGCGGGTGTGTGTCAGGGGGGGTGGGACTGTTTGGGGAAGCTGCATGGAAGCTGCATGAAACCTCCTACTCAGCCTAGGCCCCACACCTAATATTTTCACAGTGTGGCCTCCCCTGCTTCTCCTCCTCCTTCATCTCCCACTGCAGCAGCCGAGCCGCTCACCTGCAGCAGCCGAGCCGCCCCACCTCCGAGCCGCCCTGCACCCGAGCCGCCCAGCAGCCGAGCCGCCCTGCCGCCGAGCCGCCGGGTCGCTGAGCTGCTGAGTCTGCGTCTGTCTGTCCTCCGTCCGTCGGGGGTGAGTGTGCTCTTGGCACGGACGTCCTAGAGGACAGGCAGGAGGAGTTACAGTGTCTAGCGGCTGCTTCACCTCATCTCGCGTCTGTACTGCTTGCCCCTGAGGGAGACCCGGATGCACTAGACATCCCGACTCCGCGTTCTTACGCGGAGGCCGTAGAGGGTCCCTACTCCTCTCAGTGGCAGGCAGCTATGGATGCAGAGATGGCTTCCTGGAAGTCCACAGGCACCTACGTTGACGCGGTTCCCCCTCCTGGGGCGAACATCGTCAGTGGCATGTGGATCTTCAGGGTGAAGCGGCCGCCGGGCTCTCCACCTGTCTTCAAGGCGCGGTACGTTGCTCGTGGCTTCAGTCAGCGGCAGGGAGTTGACTACTTTCAGACCTTCTCTCCCACCCCGAAGATGACCACTCTTCGGGTGCTGCTGCACATAGCCGCTCAGCGCGACTACGAGCTTCACTCTCTCGACTTCAGCACTGCGTTCCTGCAGGGTAGCCTGCACGAGGAGATCTGGCTGCGCCGTCCACCTGGCTTCACTGGGACTTTCCCTCCTGGCACCCAGTGGAGCCTCCGACGGCCAGTCTACGGTCTCCGCCAGGCACCGCGTGAGTGGCACGACACACTGAGGACTACGCTTGCGGCTCTTGGGTTTGCTCCTTCTACTGCTGACCCGTCGCTGTTTCTGCGCACCGACACTTCACTGCCGCCGTTCTACATCCTCGTGTACGTCGACGACTTGGTCTTTGCCACAGCGGACACTGCTGGACTCGCCTACGTGAAGTCCGAACTGCTGAAGAGACACACGTGCACAGACCTGGGTGAACTGCGCAGCTACCTTGGCTTGCAGATCACTCGGGACAGAGCACGCCGCACCATTACCTTGACTCAGTCACACATGGTGCAGCAGGTCCTTCAGCGCTTCGGCTTCACGTACTCCTCGCCTCAGGCCACTCCTCTGCCTACTCGCCACTCACTCTCAGCTCTGCCTTCGGATGAGTCCGTAGAGTCGAGTGGTCCGTATGCAGAGCTTGTTGGCTGCCTCATGTACCTGATGACCTGCACTCGACCTGACCTTGCATACCCTCTGAGCATCCTTGCACGCTATGTTGCTCCTGGGAGACACCGACCAGAGCACATGGCTGCAGCGAAGAGGGTATTGCGCTACCTGTGCAGTACGTCGGGCATGGGGCTAGTGCTTGGAGGGCGGAGTCCAGTGGTCCTTACAGGCCACGCGGACGCTTCTTGGGCTGACGACCAGGCTACGCAGCGGTCGTCACAGGGTTACACCTTCAGCCTTGGTTCCGGCTCTGTCTCGTGGCGGTCTACTCGCTCGTCTTCAGTTCTCGGCTCCAGTTGTGAGGCTGAGATCTACGCCGGGGCCATGGCTGCACAGGAGCTTCGCTGGCTCACCTACCTGCTGACGGACCTTGGAGAGCCGCCTCGTTCTCCTCCAGTGCTGTACGTAGACAACAAGGCCATGCTGGCCTTGTGTCGAGAGCAGCGCTTGGAGCACAGAACGAAGCACATTGCTCTCCGCTACTTCCTTGCTCATGAGCTACAGCAGCGTGGACAGTTGCGGCTTGCGTACGTGGCCTCTGAGGCCAACATTGCTGATGTGTTCACCAAGGCACTCGCGCCTTGTGACCATCAGCGCTTTTGCACCCAGCTGGGTCTTGTGCCTGTCTTGCCTCACTTGCTCTCCTCTTGACTTTACTTGTACTGTTACATATATATATACCTGCTCTTGCTTGTCTAGTTTTATATATATGTCTGTACTCCTGCATGTGAACTGGCCTCTGGCCCTGCTCTTGTGCTCGGACTGTGTGGTGACTTTGTGATCCACCCTGAGCTTGCTTTGCTTTGCTTGACTGGTCTTGTGACCCCTTGTTCTCCCCCACTTTGCCTATGGGGGTGTGTCAAACATTATACATGTTATGCTTGTGTAGGCTACAGTGGGTTAGCCTATAGAGGGTACACAATTCTAGGGTTTACTACTTGTACTCATTTCACTTCTAGTTCATTCATTCCTGTTCGCTTATTCTCACAAGCCTGCTGTGCCTGTCGCTCGTGGGTCCTTTGCTCCTACCGCTCTGAGGAAAACTGAACGAGAATGAATGCACTATGAAATGAAGTGAGTACAAATATGAAACCCTAATTGGGTTGTACCCCTTATGGGATACCCCACCATAGCCTTCAGAAAAGAGTAAGCTATAATGTTCTGACACACCCCCATAGGCAAAGTGGGGGAGAACAAGGGGTCACAAGACCAGTCAAACAAAGCAAAGCAAAGCTCAGGGTGGATCACAAAGTCACCACACATTCCGAGCACAAGTTCAAGGGCCACAAGGCCAGTTCACATGCAAGATCATATATAAAGATATACAAGAGTCAAGCAAGTAAGAGCAAGAGTATATATAGGTGAAGGTACAAGAAAAGTCAAGAAGTGAGCAAGTGAGGCAAGACAGGCACAAGACCCAGCTGCGTGCAGAAGCGCTGATGATCACAAGGCGCAAGTGCCTTGGTGAAGACATCAGCAGTGTTGGCCTCAGAGGCCACGTACGCAAGTCGCAACTGTCCACGCTGCTGTAGCTCACGAGCAAGAAAGTAGCGGAGAGCAATGTGCTTTGTCCTGTGCTCCAGTCGCTGCTCTCGATACAAGGCCACCATGGCCTTGTTGTCTACGTACAGGACTGGAGGAGAACGAGGCGGCTCTCCAAGGTCGGACAGCAGGTAGGTGAGCCAGCGTAACAATTGTGCAGCCATAGCCCCGGCGTAGATCTCAGCCTCACAACTGGAGCCGAGAACAGAAGACGAGCGGGTAGCCCGCCACGAAACAGAGCCGGAACCAAGACTGAAGGTGTAACCCTGTGACGACCGCTGCGTAGCCTGGTCGTCAGCCCAAGAAGCGTCCGCGTGCCCAGTGAGGACCACTGGACTGCGCCCTCCAAGCACTAGCCCCATGCCCGACGTACTGCACAAGTAGCGCAACACCCTCTTCGCTGCAGTCATGTGCTCTGGTCGGTGTCTCCCAGGAGCAACATAGCGTGCGAGAATGCTAAGAGGGTATGCAAGGTCAGGTCGTGTGCAGGTCATCAGGTACATGAGGCAGCCAACAAGCTCTGCATACGGGCCACTCGACTCTACGGACTCATCTGAAGGCAGAGCTGAGAGCGAGTGGCGAGTAGGCAGAGGAGTGGCCTGAGGCGAGGAGTACGTGAAGCCGAAGCGCTGAAGGACCTGCTGCACCATGTGTGACTGAGTCAGGGTAATGGTGCGGCGTGCTCTGTCCCGGGTGATCTGCAAGCCAAGGTAGCTGCGCAGTTCACCGAGGTCAGTGCACGTGTGTCTCTTCTGCAGCTCGGACATCACGTAGGAGAGTCCAGCAGTGTCAGCTGTGGCAAAGACCAAGTCGTCGACGTACACGAGGATGTAGAACGGCGGCAGAGAGGTGTCGGTGCGAAGAAACAGCGACGGGTCGGCAGTAGAAGGAGCAAACCCAAGTGCCGCCAGTGTAGTCCTCAGTGTGTCGTGCCACTCACGTGGCGCCTGGCGGAGACCATAGACTGGACGCCGGAGACTCCACTGGGTACCAGGAGGGAAAGACCCAGTGAAGCCAGGTGGGCGACGCAGCCAGATCTCCTCGTGCAGGCTGCCCTGCAAGAAAGCAGTGCTGAAGTCGAGAGAGTGCAGCTCGTAGTCACGGTGAGCAGCAACGTGCAGCAGTACCCGAAGAGTGGTCATCTTCGGGGTGGGGGAGAAGGTCTGAAAGTAGTCAACTCCCTGCCGCTGACTGAAGCCACGAGCCACGGAACGCGCCTTGAAGACAGGCGGAGAACCCGGCGGCCGCTTCACCCTGAAGATCCACATGCCACTGACGATGTTCGCCCCAGGAGGGGGAACAGCGTCAACGTAGGTGCCTGTGGACTTCCAGGAAGCCATCTCTGCATCCATAGCTGCCTGCCACTGAGAGGAGTAGGGACCCTCTATCGCCTCCGCGTAAGAGCGCGGAGTCGGGATGTCTAGTGCATCCGGGTCTCCCTCAGGGGCTAGCAGTACAGACGCGAGGTGAGGTGAAGCGGCGGCCAGACAGTGGAACTCCTCCTGCCTGTCCTCAAGGACGTCCATGCCAAGGGCACACTCACCCCCGACGGACGGAGGACAGGCCGACTCAGACTCAGCGACAAGACTAGCAGCGTAGTCTAGACGACAGCGCGCAGCAAAGTCGACAAGCTCAGTGACAAGGGCAGACGAAGCAGAC